GAAATGCTTTTTTCTAAGGTACATAAACTTTTCGGATTGACTGTATAGCCAATACATTCTTAAAAGTAAACACCGATATTCTTTCTTTTATAATTGAGTCATCCTATGAACTTTGAAATTATTGTTTGTGTTCATTGTTTCACTCGACAGATCTGAACGTGACAAGTTTCGGTATGACACGACAGATCAGAAATTGCTAAGTATGTATGCTGGTTCTGCCAACTATTTCGGGCACTGCAACCAAGGGCAACTTCTATAAATCATGATTCACCCGTTCAAGAGTTTCTCGCACGTTTCCTGTTTCGCTTTCGTGCTCTTCATCCAAGCAGTTGTCATCGCCGTGTGAGTACGTCTGTTAATCGTACAATCATTTTTCCTTCTTCACTTTATGGATTAGAAAAGTGACCCTCGAGGTGCTAGACTTCGAAGTTCACTCTTCATATTTGTTCGTGTCGATTTGTAACATTGTAAAATATCGGCAAATTCAATATTGAACGAGCAACGATGATTTGCTTCTCATACGATAAATTGGGAACACTTTTACTTTTAACATTAGCAACTCGCGCTCGCACGGTAGATATAACGAAGAAGACAAATTGAACGAGGCGTTGGTTCGGTTCAACGACATTCGACTAGTTGTTAACTAACGTCGAGACAGTTACGCAAGTTTTTAGGGAAACGTACACGACGAGGAGACAGTGTCGTTTCCAGCGCAGTCGATAGCCACCTTCTATTTTCGAGGGGTTTAAATGAGAACGTTCTACATATTTGCACAGAACGATCGATTACACCGAGTCGAACGAGCATAGAACTATGGCATTCCCTTTGAATGTTTACCATCTCGTACATCAATCAATCTGTTTGCAAATCTGTTAGTACTTTCAGCGAGTTCTCTGTAATCGAAAGATACTCAAAGAGGAGTAAGACAGTTTTACTCTTTGCCGATACCCGAAACTATTACGAGTTTATGGCCGGTATTCAGAGTCGTTACTTATTTTTAAGATCGTCTTCAGCATTTCCTATCCCTGTCCTATATTTCCAATCCCTATTGTGTACAGGAAACAGGGACTTAAGCATCTTAAATATAAGTAACGACTCTCGTCTTTAGAGGACGAGTGCATTTCTGACGTTGGATTAAAAAATGTGAGACCTTGCAAGAGATTGAAATACGATTGTTGGTCTCTGAGGGCCGTCGTTGGTGTATAGGGGATACCATCGAAGAGCGTTGGACCCTGTGTCAAGGATCGTTAGATTAGGTCATTAGGTCTGGTGAATCGCGTGGATATATGTTTCGCGAGTCTCCATGGCGATAGAACGTCACCAGGTGAATCGATCCGATGTTCTTTCGCATTAACAAGACTGGAAGTGAGCGTGCCGATAGAGATCAGGGGGTCTCACGGCGGTGGCAACACGTGTAATCATCGGACGACGCGTGTCTGCCCCCGAAAACGAAAGAAAGTGTGTCGCCAGACGTATCGTGACTGGCTACCGACCCAGCCACGACATAGATATAGATATTTCATGCTCGCGTTTATTTGTCTTATATGATATTTTGACGAATACCGAAACGGTTCCCTCGGGCTTCCCTTGCAAGGACCAAACGGCAGGGAAGAATGCGAGGCTTCGTTTCTGGAAGTATCTGTTCAGACTTGGAATCAATTTAGTCATAGTGTATATATTTTATGATCATATTGGCAGGAGGCTTCGTAACATCATTTTCCTTTCTTTACTCCTGAATTATTCCGGGAGCGAAATGATTTGTCTCTTATGTAAAAGATGTTACGAATTGGGAAATGTCGAGAAAGCCAGTTATAGACGACACAGTTGCAGAAAGTTTATTTTGTGTCGTCAGCTACGTATGTTCTGGCGGTGGAGTTCTATATAGGATAGGTCGTTACCCCTCACTTGAAATATCTCTGTCCATCCTAAATATCAAGATGATTGTCTAAACAAACATTGAGGAACGGAGAGGAGCGCGAGACAGATCGGATGGATCCCATATTCCATGTCCTTCGACGCTCAATATAATTGTATGGTGAAATTTCTTAAAATTGTTCAAAGTACCACGAGCGAGTATTGTGTTTAAGGTAAAAGTTCAAGTTTCAAGATCCTATCTGTATCCGTCTCGCTTACTCTGCAATGCGGCCTCGATCACTGAAGTACAGATAAAAAAAGGAGAACGAGATATCTGAGATCTCTTAATTAAAAATATTATTTCTCTCCTCGACACGCATAAATCAAATGAGTTTAATTCATGATACTACAAACAGGAACAAATTGTAATAAATACCTGACGTTTTTTTTATTAATTATCAGCTCCTTCTGTTGACGGATTATTAGCAATCCTGAATCTCTACCTCCGTCTGTGTTCCCATCTCTTCCCTCTATCTTTTCATTTGTCAAATAGCTAAAGTTCATTCGAGTGAGCTCATACAATTCTGCTTTCATAAGCTTTCTCACTAGCGAACCGAGGAGAGAGATAAACATTTATCAAGGCGTAGGGAAACGATTGAGCTATACTGTTTACGGAAGTAATAGCCTGCTATCAATGCCACGAGCCGTATCATCGTAGACAAATAAACGCGAGCATGAAATCTATCCCAGTGACACACAATACCCGAGAAAACATCGGTAAGCCTTTAGCACGAGTTTTACAGTAGTTATTACAATTAAACCGACATACTTGTTTATTACATTTCTCGTATCAGCTCGTGTACGCCGACGAAAAGGCGGACAGCTCCCCTCTCCGAATTCGCTCATTTCTTTACTCCATTATGGTTCAATTTCCGAAACCATTAACGTTATACAACCACGTTTCAAAGTCTGACAATAAAGAGTAGAATCGTATCATGTTCGACTTATCATAAACCACACTTAGGTTGCATAAACTCATCTCTACAGATAATCTTGCACTTACTGTTATCGTACTTATATCTTTTCTACTAAGAATGCCGGTATTTGTAAAAAGATAATCTCGCTTTCGGCGTTCTCTTCTTTCATCTGAATTCTAACAATTTTATTAAAATAACGAAATCGCTCTTAGACGCGCTCCTCCTTGCTACATCACATAAACGTTCCATCGTGTTCTCACGGTTGAATCGAAACGGAGTCTCCGAATGAAAATTGCATACAATTCGACAGGTTCTATTTTAACGATGTAGGTCGTCATTTCGCCCTGACCAACGGCGGTGGTTTAATCCTTCTGCGGCTAGTCGATGGAAATGAATTTGAACCGTAATCGAGACGAGGGATCGGAGTGTATTATTACGACTCACGATTAACTAGGCACGGATAGGAGCGAACAAGAAGTACGAAAACAACCGAGAAAGAACGCGCGGTGACTCACTATGAGATATTTACATTTCCTTCTTCGGGCCTTTTAAACAGTCTCCACGCGATTCTATCAACAGGCTTATAAAATTTGATCCACGCCTTAAAGAACTATTAGTCTAAGTACGATTAATTTTCGACGACGTTTAAATATTTGGGCAAGTGACCGATGTTTAAAACTGAGTCGTTACATCTGGTAACGATTCAGCTTTATCTATCTCGTCCATGAAATATTTATGTACGCGATTACAATATATGTACAGCTAATCGAGAAATTGTGTGCTCTCTCTGTCTTGTGCGAAGTGCAAGTGGCTGTTGTATCATTCGTCTGTTCAACGCACGAGTAGATAATCGTTCCGCTTGAAAAACTTTCGAGATACTAAACGAACATCTTGTCCTCTTTTTTTTTGATGTTGTCGAACATCGAAACGAGCTAAATTGAATGATCGACGCTGTCAATATTATCATGTTATTATTTCTATGACAAGTTAATCGTTCCGGTGTTTTACTAAAATTTTAATAATTAACACAGACCTTTGTTTCATTATCTACGTTCAAATTAATAGTTTCTGTAAACGCTCGTGGTCAGATACGAGGTATCGTTGAAACGTATCAACCGAAGGACGTTCGTATGACAGAAAACAGTTATTAACACGCCGTTTTCAGTCTATAATTACGGTCAATTAGCGTGTTTTTGTTTGAAAAGTAATATTCTTGAAATCAGTCTCGTTAGCCTGCGGCTAACGAGGCGAGGCATTTTCAAAGATACATGCGTACAAAAAATGACAAATGGATAACGTCTTGCTTCGTTGTTCGACAGAGTGATTCGATTACGAGAATTTCAAGTATGTAGTTTATTTATCGTGACAGGAATCGTTTGATGTTGTAATCGTTAAGTATCATAAACAGTGATTCGTGAAACAAGGTCGGTTTAGAAACAGCAAACATGTTTACAGTGTCCTAATCTGAATGAAACGTGGATCTATAAATAGCAGTTAAAGTAGCCTGATCTGCGAGTAATCAATTTCACTTTATAATAAACGCGCGGCTGAATTCCATTTAAGAGAATTGTAAGGTCGAGCAAGCCCTTTCATCTCGAGCGTCTCGCGCGGGCAGGGATCGATCTTGGATCAATGGGTACGTCGTCGGTGTGAGAAAAATCGATTTCCTTTGTTACTCACCGCTGTCCTTCACTGGTCCAGCCGAGTGCTCGTCCGACGGATCGTTGGATCGATACCTGTGGAAGGGTCCTGTTCGCGGTTCACGTCTCCGTGGTTCTACGTCGAAAAGTTTAAAAGGCACTGGTCTCGAAGGCAACGAGCCGCTTGATACCACGGTCCGTGTTGCCACCGTCGAAGCTTGGTCACGATATTTATGTAGAGGAGCGGTCTCAGCGCACGCGTCGCTTACCCCGTTCGCTCTACCCGCGACTTCCCCACCTCGTTTTCAAAAGTCGCGGAGTCCGATTATCCCGATGCGACGCGAGATCGTAGGTCCACCGCGATCGTTACCACGCTGGAAAATTACCGTCGGCGCTGCTCCGCGCCATTCACGATCGGCGCCGTGTATGCCATACCGATGACTCCGCCGATCACGAACGGCGACCGTCATTCGTGACTCTCTCACGGCGACGAACTACTCTGTCCATGATCGATCGCGATAAATAATTATCGCCGTGTGAGTCACGGAAGAGCTTTGCCCTCCGTTGCTCTCTCCGGCCGGAGGAATGTCGTAGATCTTTTCGAAAACTCAGCAGCAGAAGGATCGTGCTTTTACACATTTTTTTTTACACGTACCTGAAACTTTCGAGCGCGGAGCGAGCGATTAAGATCACGCATTGATCGTGAGAGTCGCAAACTACGATGCGTCCAATTTTATTACGTGCGTCAAAAGGCGTATCGCATTTCGGAGTTTCCCTAATTCTTTGTTACCTTTTAATTGGTAGTAATTGAACCGTTCTATTTACGCAGAGGAAGTGTATACCGCGGACGGCGCGGATCCCTTCCCACAGAACGTTTCTTTTCGGTAGCTTCCGATTGTTAAATAGGAATTCGTAGGAAAAGTCTGAGCACGAGATGTCGTATGAAGTTGCGTGCCAGGAACGCGGTATCGTGACCAGATTCATCAGAGAATCGTCAATGAAATGTAATTTGAAATGAAAGAAAATTGAACTATTCGAAACTGTTTCGCCAGACATCCATGGCAATTTGCCTGAAACGTGTTGCCGTTAACAACGAGACAATAAACTTCGCGTCTACTCGTAATGCTAAAAAGAATAATGGAAGTGAATTACAGCATATGTTTATGTAAGAACCACAGCGGGTCGTGGCAAATGTGAGAATACGTACAGGACGAGAGTGCCACGGTTTCCCTCGGCTTCGTTATTAAAAGTATCGGCTTTACCGAGAATCCGATCGACGTTTCCTTTCCGATCAATTGAATCTTGAAAATACGATATCTAAAAACGGCGCGATAAAAGCTTATCAGCGTTGATCGAAATGTTTTGTACGCCTGCGAATCCTGCGAGCTCCCTCCTCGCGTTTCCAGTCGATCGGCTTTCCTCTCGAGCGTTTTACAAAAAGAAAGTGATCTAGAAAAAATGTGTTAAGTACTCGGGGACAACCTTGTGGCTTTTCAGCCCGACCTACTGAACCACGATAATAGTTTATATTTAACGCTGATCGTAACGGGTTCTGAATATATTACGTCCTCCAGTACATTGTGCCAATCATATTCTGACCCCTGTTACACGTCAGCACCGATCATCATTATATAATGATTTAGAACAAGTTTCGTGTAGGGTTCCCAGATGAGAAGGAAGTGATTGAATAACGGATTTCCTTCGCTGGTCGAACATTATGTGTACACAAATAATAGATCATGTTCAGAGCGTACAGCGTATCTATTGATCTGCTATCGAACGGGTCCCATCTCAAGCGGCGAAGCTTTCTACGGGATCGGCGGGAACAGTAATTGCATCTGTCCGTTCAAAGAAAAGTTCTTCAACGATCATTAACACAGTGCGTCATTTTTAATAAGTTTCGTTCAAAAATTTCTATTTTACTGCCACGACCTCGAGGACGTTAATGGTCACATCTTGTAAGATTAGTGCCGCGTACATAAATTGGATGATTAAGAATAATGTTTGTACTATCGGCTCTGCGGAATTGCTTTTGTTAATTATCGACGATAGTTGAGTAGCAACTTACGAGGTGACGACGGTGGACCCACGACCCTATGCGAATGCGTTCTCTCTTTCTGTTTGTCTCGTTCACTTTTATAGGGTTTAGCGTATGCTGTTACGGATGGTATTTTAGTAGCGACCGAATATCGTTTGTTCATCGTCGAGAAGCGGCCTACTCTCAAACAATAGTCCGTATTGGCCGGTATTCAGAGTCATTGCTTATTCTTAAGATCGTCTTAAGAATTTGCTATCCCTGTCTATCCCATATTTCCAGTCCTTGTCTTGTACAGGGAACAGGGACTTAAGCAAATGCTTAAGACGATCTTAAGAATAAGCAACGACTCTGAATACCGGCCATTGTCTCGGGTAATTGATTAAATATAAAACGAAAATATTTAAGATCTATCTGTCGATTCGTCAATTTAGATAAATGCATTGCTTCATGTATTGGCATTACGCTTAAGTAGTATTACATTTCTCGTAAGGAACAAAGTATTTCACATATATATATATATTGTACATACACGTGGATTAAATTAAATTTAATCGATAAGTAAATAATTATTGCGGACGTAACACATATCTTAGTACAATAAGTAGAATGTATTCCATAAATATTCACAGTTCTTAGAAATACATTAAATTCTCATCGCGAACGGCAGACTAGAAATATTAAGAATATTGCAAACATTATTGATAAGCGAAAGAGATTGGCTTACATTAAATCGAGATTAAAAATGTATTCCTACAACATGATTGAGACACAATAAAAATGACGCGTGATGTATGTTCAGTTGATTCAAATACCTCTATGGATTTGAATTTCGAGGAAATGATCTGTAATAAATGTGAAAGAACGATTGAAACTCATGATCTGTATATTTAGAGGAGACAGAAGTATGCCAATTGCGTTGCACTTTAAGTGCGTATTTAACACGGTGTGAATAATAAAACGTGATATACTCATTTACAAAATAAATTAAAATGATAATGCCAAGAACTATAAATGTAAATATTAATCTATATTTGAGCAAAAGTTATCAGATTATACGTGCTCTCAATGTCTACGTCGAATCTCACGTGGCTCAAATATATGATCTGATTCGATCGACAACTAAATTTCCTACTACGATAGGAAGAAGTATAACGAAATTTGTTTGTTGTGCTCTTTTATTCGCATGGTTCACAAATATCTAAACCGACTCGTTAAGCTGCTGGAAGAAACGTGAACACTTTTAGCTTAGAACAAACTTTTAAAGTGCGAAGATAAATAACTTCTTTAAATGGGAAACGTAGAATGACACGATTTTCGATCTCGCGTTATATTTAAAGAACGTAAGCTGAACGAATAGAATTAGAATTATTTCCGAAGGTGTATCTGGAGTTTATCTGTCCTGCGTCACTCTCTAAAACTGTCTGTTCGCTCTATTACGCAGAGATCCATAAAATGACTTGAAATCAGGATCCCACGGTATAAAACGTTGGCTAAGGCTGATGGAAGACATAAATATGTAAGACTTTAAGTCGTAAGAAAAACGAACCTTGTACACACGTAAAACCCTTCGCTTTATAATTAAACACGTATACGTCGATCTGAATGTAATTAGGAAAATCTTCTATCTATCATAAGTATAAACATACTTTACCAGCAAAACTGAGGGAATTGATTTTTTTGAAGAATTTAATACTTTATTTGATATTAGCGTTTTCTTATGCTGTTCGCTGGATGATATGGATACCGCTGTCCGTGTGAACCGGCGATGACAATTCGCCGACTTTAAGAGCGAACGCCGCTTGTTCGAAAGGCTTTTGCATCGCACCTCGACTAAATGGTCCCAGATCACCACCGCGTTTGGCCGAACTACAATCACTATATATCGACGCGAGTTCGGCAAACGTTGCTTCCCCGGATACAATTTGTTCTCTGTAAGCTGAAATAGATTGCGTACATGATCGTCCGGTTCGAACGTGATAGTCTAACGGTGAAGACGGTCGGTATCTTACATTTTATAAGTTCGAGCGCCTCTTCTTTCGATCTGGTGATGTTCTCCTCTCGCCAGGAGGACGGTCTCCTAGAACCCGCATGTTTTACTAACAAATGTGAACACTGAACTTCCTCTGGCCCATCCCCTTTACTATTCCCAGATGGATCAGCTGGTTTGTCTGGCCTGTCCCATTGACTTTCTTTAGTATAAATATTTAAATAATAATGTTGCCCTTAAAAAAAGATACTCGTTAGTCGAATAAGAATATATCAGTCGCTACATGTAACACTGTTTCCCTAAACAGGGAAACTCTTTAAACTTTTATGATGTACGAAAATTAATATTAATGTTTAACATGTTTGATGCATAGAATGTGTAGAGTGATTAGAACGTTATAATGAAACGCGTGATTTCACACCTCTTGGTAATCGTGCTTGAGATTATAAAATATTAACAAAAATAGAGTTAAATGGAAAAATGCCGGCCGTGTATCGTACACCGTCGTCGACACGGCGAAGTACCCAAATTCGTAAAGGACGAGGTGATAGTAAAAGATGATCGAGAGGTCGCGTTCCGAAACGTTTGATCAAGAGGTGAACTGTTCCACGTACCGGTTGATCTACTCAAACGTTTCTCCCAGCCCGCTGGTAGTTCTTCGTCCGCCATTATTATCCGATACTTTCTCACTCACAGTCGCACCGCACGTCAAACACAGCAGAGCAGCCGCAGCATATGACAGGATCGCAGAACACCGCAACGCTTTTCCACTATATTTCACTATGATACTATTCTCCAACTGTTTAATAAAGTTACTACACGTCGCGATCCTTCCTTTTCGGTAGAGTGATTGAATAAATCATAAAATTGTTTATTGTAAAAGATTTATTAACTTACAACAGTAGTGAAAAATGTTTCGCACAAAATTTTTATCCTAACACGATACCTAAATACAACTTCCGTCGTTTCAAATATCTTTTGGTGGCGCCAACACTTTGCTATTTGAAACGATTTGAAATGGATAAATTACATTGCTTAGGATATTCTTCAGCTTTAAGTTTAATCGCGATTCTTTAAAATCGTCTCGCCATAAGCCAAGATACATATTTTAGTATTAGTTTAAACTCCAGTATGGTTCTATCTTATAGAACTTCTTCTTTCACCTTACAGCGATCCGAATTGGATTCATTACATTGTTCACGATATTCCTCGGACATTTGGCTTCGATTCCAGTGTTCGGACATTAAAATGGGTTTTCTACGAACAGGAATATCACGTTCCTCTACGGGCTCACCTTCCCCGGTGAGTTCTACTGCTTTAGCGTTGAAAGACCATCAGCACGTCCTTATGTCAAGGTACATAATCTATCGTATGTATTTTATTTCATTGCAAAGTATTTGTAATAGTCTTAAGGGAAATTGTATAGATATCAGATTTTTGTATTCTGTAACTTGTTTAAAAATTAAATAAAGATCCTTTTAAACATATGTCTCACTGTCGAATTATTCACTACTCCTACAATGACCAACGCCCATTCCTTAACGAGAACTATGACACGAAATAATAGCCATGACTACTATTAAATTAGTTGTATAAGTATGTCAAATTCCGCGCTGCGAAATTCTTGGAAATGACGTCATCAGGAGAACTTAGTGCTACCTCCTATTAACTCATATTCTCCTAATACAAAGTCCGATTTTGGAGAAAATTTTTGCTCTCAGAGAATTCTTGGAAATGACGTCATCATCAGGAGTTAGTGCTACCTCCTATCAACTTATATTCTCCTAATACAAAGTCCAATTTTGGAGAAAAATTTTGCTTTTCGAGAATTCTTGGAAATGACGTCATTGCTAGGAGTTAGTGCTACCTCCTATCACATTATATTCTCCTGATACAAAGTCAAAATTCGGACAAAAATTTTGTAGAAAATTTTACTTTGTATTAGGAGAATATAAGATGATAGGAGGTACCACTAACTAATTTAATGCTACCTCCTATCACTTTATATTCTCCTAATACAAAGTCTAATTTGAAGCTAAATGTTTCTCCAAAATCGACCTTTGTATCAGGAGAATATGATAACATAGGAGGTAGCACTAACTCCTACTGATGACGTCATTTCCAAGAATTCTCGGAGAGCAAAAATTTTCTCGAAAATTAGACTTTGCATTAGGAGAATATAATGTGATAGGAGGTAGCACTAAATTAGTTAATGGTGCCTCCTATCATCTTATGTTCTCCTAATACAAAGTAAAATTTTCGACAAAATTTTTGCCCGATTTTGGACTTTGTATTAGGAAAATATGATAGCATAGGAGGTAGCACTAACTCTTGCTGATGACGTCATTTCCAAGAATTCTCGGAGAAAAAAATTTTGGTCGAAATTTTCACTTTGTACAGCTAGTAACAACGAAACTGAGCCAGCTATGTGCATGTATTAGTTTCCCCTAGGGGACAAAATTCAAAACGAGTATAAATAAAGGGAATGTGAAAATACAGGAACGGTGTAAATTATAAAAATAAGAAACATTATTCGTTCATTGTATCATTTACTTATTATTTAATCAATTATTAGGTTAATTAACATTTTAAAACGT